TCTGGAATATTTAGTGTTTAGTGGTGGTGATTTAAAATTCAATCTGTTACTTTGGTTAACGCAGAACACAAGTCATTTACTTTGTAATTAAAGATAACATGAATATTGCAGCTACTCTGCGATGGGAAATTCAAATCAAGCTGTATCTTAATTGTATTGTTTAGTCCTTCTATCCTTTATCTTTCATATTTCTTACTTCTGTTTCTAATGAAAGTGTCATATCTGTTATTGAAACTTTTAGATCTTCTGTTGCTTGTACAATACACTCATCCTTCGTTTGATCTGTAAGATGTCCTTAACTGAAATCATTTAATTGCATAGCAGCATATTATACAATCTTAATAATGAAAAGCAGCATCATGTTGTTTATCTGATGTGTATTTATATTTGAATTTGCTGAATGACAGTCAAAAGTAAAATATTCACTTCTTAATTATCATGCCACAAGCAACCGCATGATTCATGCATGTGATTATCTTATGCATATGTTGTATATTTTTCTTTTTTCTTATTATAGTATTAAACCCTTAAGGGCCAGAAATGGTCTAGGCTGCCATATTCAACTTACCTTTAGTGATACTATTCAAAATGGAATTACCTACTTTCCATAGTAGAATAAGATTTTTAGGGATGACATTGTAGACAGGTGATGTGCAGTTACATTACATTATATTCAAAGATCATTTGTCAGTAGTCCAAATTTAATGTGTTGCTGTTTATAAAGAGAACTGTTCATTAAAACAAAGCTATTTCGCACATATCACACAGTAAATTCTCCAACACAGCTTGTCTAGTATAGTCATAATTCTGAAGTTTGGATTTTAATTCACTTATGAGTTTAGCGATTAAATTGATTTTAAACATGGTTTTCCTACTTATATTCATTTGTAATCTTTATGAATCTCACACAATGCAATAATGTCATTTTGTGTGACTGCATGTATGTAGCCAACCAATTTTCAATAGGATAACCAAAGTTAAAAAAAATAAACAATTACTGCAAAATGTAAAATAGAACTAGATTCACCTACAGCCTTTAACATGGAATAAGTTGTAGAAAAGGCTGAGTTCTGTTGGTCTACCTAGGCTTTGGATAAGAAAAAAAAAACATTTAGTTCAAACAATTGTGAATGCACCCATGTTATTTATAAAGAAGTATAAAGCTCCATTCTGGTCCAAATCTACCTACCCTACAGTGGCCACCTATTGTTGATATTTGGAAAAGGAGGATGTGATGTTACAGAGGGGATTTTACAAAATCGTTTCTAAAATGTTTTAATATATGTGCTATTCTTAATGAACGGCACAGAGCGATTCATCTTATTCTAAATCCAAACCTTGAAATCATTTGATTGGATTGATATAACACTATTTAGCTGATCAGACCTTTTTGAAGAGTTCCCTAACTGTAAATAACACTGTTTAGTATATTTTGCTTGATGACTTCAATTTGTTAGTTATTTGGGCAGACTTCCAGTATTAAGTGAAATTGTGTTTAGGACATACTTGAAAACGAGAGAAATCTCAATGTATCTTTCCTGGTAAAATATTTTATAAATAAATATAAATAAATTATATTATCCATCAGAGCTATTGCATTTTGTCTAAATTTTGTACTACTCTGACACTAGTTTTATTTGATACATTTAAAACTATTTCTCATAGGTTGGTAGTTGTATCACTTTGGATTAGATCATTCAATATATACAGTTTTTCTACTAATTTTATTTTTAATCCTTACTTTATTCCTTTATTTTGTGTCTGTTTGGGGGCTAGGGATATCCTGACATTTCAATAGATACTAGTTCAATGAGATATTATACTAACCTACAAATATGCTATGTATAAACAGATATCAAACTACTGGGATCTGTTCCTTATTATCTAGTAACACTCTTACTATTTGCATACACTATTTATATCTAAAATAGCTATACTTGTCCTTTAGGAACTATATGGATACTAATCCTATTGGGGACATCAAGTAATGCAATCACCCAATCTTTAACGTCTACATTAGACTTGGGAACTGCTCCATTTAGATGTAATTGCCTTATTTATTAAGATTTCTAGCAACTTTATACACATACTAAAGACCTACCTCTGTGATACTTCATACTTAAATGTATTTATTTTGTTCAATTTTTACATATATCCCTCTCCTGTCCTTTATGGATAAAAAATGTTTATGTAGTAGCATAATGATTTACCCTGTAGCTGATATTACCTCATTATCACTGGACTGTATATACACTCAGATATGCTTTGCTTTAAAACTTGTTTTTAACTATTATTAATAAAAGTTAAGTTTTATATTCTGTATAGTTGGGAGTATTTTGTTAATGTTTTTTTTTTTCAAATTCTTTTCTAAAGGTTTTATTTGTTTGAGGTTATACCCTGTCTCTGCATCTTGGCAACTTTGCAAAAAAAGTTAGTTGCACACTATCTCCAATCCCAACGCACATTTAAATAACTGGATGTTTTTTTAATATCACTCCAATGGCTATTCAAGTGTAAGCTCACTTGCCACGTTAAGGCAAAACCTCTGAGGTGAGTCCTACACTAACAATTAACCTTGCTGCTTTCAGCTTAAAGGTTAAATCTCTAACGAGATAGAGAGGGGTATTTTTCTAAACCCCTACCCACTTATTAACCCTTAATAGGTAACACATGGGGTGGGCAGCAGCACTGTAACATGGCTGTGTAATACAAAAGCAAACACAAATACACAAAATTAAGCTCTGCTCTGAAACATGTGGGCAGACCTGCTATTTGTGGAGAAGAGAGACCACTTTTTTAAATTTGGTACTGATGAGCATTCGTGCACAATAACATACAAAGCATTACACATGGCTCTGTCCCATAGAACAGACAGAATGCTTGGGAGACAAAGATACACTAACATGAATTGACGATGGAAATTAGTAAGCTGGAGAGCCATAGAGATTTTGGATCTCCCTATTTAATTATAACTAAGACTCCAACACTATAAAAAAAATTTCATTAGTAGTTGATATCTTTCGGTCTAAAGCAAGTTCTTGTCCATGAAGTTTATTAATATTTATGTTCAAACGAGCCATAAACTATGAGGTATTCACAATGCTTGCATTATGTGGCTCTGATCAAGGGATTAGGCATAAAATTAACAAAATTAAATATTGATGAACTTTTGAAATCATACTTCCATTTGGAGAAACAGATTTATGTTTGATCGTCTTTAAATTAAATATGTTCTGGTGAAAAGAAAAATGCAAGTTTAATAACTGGAAATTATTTGGAAATTTATAATGAGTCTTTGGCAGTAGAAATTAGCTAAAGATGGTTTTAGAAATGAGTGAACTACATCATAAAAATGACTGAATCTTTTGAATCGCTAACTGAACATTCAATTAAACGTTGATTCATTTCTATTATTTTTAGCGTAATGTAGATTTTCTAAGAGAATAATCATAGCCCAAGCCCATTTTGCTAACACTAGATATTACACATCCCAAAACTAATTTAGAGAAAATAAACTTTTAGTACTGGAAAAAGCATCCATAAAAGTGAGTTTAAGACCTATGTTTGTATAGCAGTAAATGCACTGTGCTATTCTTTAAGCTTTCAAATTCAGTATTGTGGTCAATCAATCACAAACCTTAACTCTAACTGAATTGTGTTCATCTAAGCATTGATGGCAAACCTTGCCACTGCAGATGTTAGTAAACCACATTCGACATGATGCTCATCTAGTCTGATGTAATGCAACTGTCTATTAACTTTTCTCCAAAACGTTTTATACCAAGACAAAGAAAAATACATGCTTCTATTATGTTTGGATGTTGTTTCAACCAATCGGATTGGGAATATTATCTTATAATGTCTTGTATGCTAGAGCACAATTGTAGAGCATCGATTGGAAGTTGGAATACAATGGTTTCTGGAGCAATTGTGTAGGACAAAGAAGGACAACTACAAATAACTCTTTCATATCACTAGCTTAGCTTATTTATGGCTCATATCCAATCGTATTAATATGTTTTCCCAAACTTGAACATAACTCTCTAAAGTAGCTGTTACTAACCTTAGCTAATAGAGGTTTTTTTCCCAACAGCAAAATCTTCACATTAGTCACTCACATGTGTCACGTATTTATCCGCACATAAAAATATGGTTAATGGCATTTACTGTCCTGACAGGAAAAGTTGTGCCAAGCAACATTACTGTCCTGGCAGGAAAAGTTGTGTCGAGCAACATTATTGCCAAGCAGCAATAAAATCCACAGGAGGGTTTGTGCTGAGCAGCAATCATGCAAATGGAAACCTGGTAATTGCCTTTGTCAAAGGCCAGTTACAGCCAATCTGATCCATAGGAGGGGTATTTAGGCCCAGTTCTCCTCTTGCTCAGTGCCCTGTCGTGGTTTCATGCCTATGGTTATCCGGGAGTGCATTCCTGAGCTTGATTTTCTTGCATTTGACTTTGGATTTGTTTTGACTTCCCTGATAACTGGTATCCTTGACTTTTGGCTTTCCCTCATCTTTGTGTATGATTCTGTGTCCCTGACCTCGGCAAGTATTTTGACTATTCTTGGAGACGTTAAGTCTGGCCATTCTAAGGTCCGGTTATATGTTATCCTTAGTCCTAGGTGTGACACAGTACTGCGTTCTGGATCAACTTGTAATCCTGACATTACGACATGGCCATAGATCTGTAACGATACCTTACCTTTTCTCTCCAGACCCGCGCAGCGCGGCGTCCTCTCTTCTTGCTTCTGGGAGGAGTCTCTTGGACGCCAGCCGCTCGAAATAGGCCGACGTCAGCATAATTATCCCGCGGGTACTCGAACGTTACCACGCCCCCAGACCTTCAAATTGGAGTGGCGTCTTCCCCCTCAAGGGGGTTTGAACTGCTGTTTTATCTGTTCTGGTTTGGAAGATGAGTATGACATCTCGTGTGGCCTCAGATGGCACCCTTGGGGATTCGGGTATTCTCAATATGTTATCGGGGGTGATCTTGTTGACTCACGTGGGTGGTAGTATAGTGGCAAGAAGGTGAACAACAGCCTGGGCTAGGTCCGACCCGGGGATCGTTTCAGTGAACCCCCTTAATTTTATGTTGTCACGCCGTCCGGCATCCTCTTGCTTCGCCATGCGGTGTTCATGGAGCTTTTGTTGTCGTTGAATGTCGAGTCTGGTTTGCCTGATTTCCACAATATCTCGGGTGGTGTTGTTGGCTGTGTGTTCCAATGTGTTTAAGCGGGTTGTCATCCCCTTTAGGTCTCCCCTGATTGCAGCAATGTCGTTGTGCAGATCCTTGTGATGATCCGCAAGCATCCGTGTGAGGGCCGCAATAGTCACTGGAGCGGTGTCTGGGTAGGAGCCGGCAGTTGTGGAGGTCTCCCCGCCTTGGTTGCTGGCAGGTATTCGTCTCTGGAGGGGTCATCCGAGAAATCGGAACAGCCGCCATGAATCGCCACCATGTTGGTCCCGCATGCCCCGCAAGCCTGCTTCCACATGTCGCCAATTGTGAGTCCTGGGGAGTGTTTTTCTGTGGGCGTTTTTATTTTCTTCGTCCCATGTTGCTCGGAGGGACTGTAGTGCACCTTTGTAGTGATTTGGGGGTGCCCATCACAGGTTTTTCCCCGTTTTTCTCGTTTTTCTTTCGGAGCTCTCAGCCCGTGCGACTGCTTGTCTCGGCTGTCAGACTCCGCCCCCGTTATGATGCTCTTTTGATCAGAGAACCCCACTTTTTGCCAGAACATACAAAGATGCTGAACAAAAGAAAATACAATGTGGGTTTTAACCCTGGATGCTAAACAACAAAACATACAATTCAGGTTAAACCTGGCAATGCTGGGACAGAATCCTGCCCACTGTGCATGACATGGCCTGTTTGGGCTCAGGAAATAGCCAGCCCCCTGGGTACTTTATTAAAAATAATATGTGCCCTGATGGGGCCCAGAAGATCCCTAAACTCTTATGCCCATGTTTCTAAATAGCCATTTTCTTGGTGGCAAGGGGTTCTCAAGACCCTAATCAATTCTTCCCCAAAATATGTCCCTATTTACACTCCTAAAACTAATTAAATAGGGCCCAGGAAATCTAATATAAAAAAAAAGATTTTTGTTATTCTTACCATGTGAAGCCTTTCTTTCTTCGTCCACTAAAAAAATTTAAATCCATTATATTGAGATAAAACAGTCTAAAATCTCAATAAATATCCCCCCAAAATTGAAAAACTGCAAACCTACAATGTTTGTTTGCCTTTCAGTGTCCACGCAGAAAGCAGAGTATTGCGTCAACATTGGAAATTTGCTGGTAATTTGTTGTTAATATCTAACGTCCGTAGACGTATGGACAAGGATGGAAACAAGCCCTTTATTTTGAAGTGGGTAGGTGAAGAACATGATGTAGACTTTAACTGTAAATACTGAAAGTGAAATACAAACTGCATTCATGGGAGTTGAAAATGAGTACTTGGAACTTTTCTGTAATTATTTTATTTCCTCTTGAGGTTGATCTTCAAACTTAGCCAGCCCAATATACTACTGTTAGAAGAACATTAATAAAGCACTTGTGGCAGGGAGGGATGCTAAACCCAGCTTGACGTACTTCCACTATAAATATAAGGACGAACTATGCTCTCTTTTTATTGGATTTTGGAAGCATGACTAAGCCTCCCTGCCTCATGTGCCTAATTAACAGAGTCCAAATTTCACTATTAAGAGCATTACTTCACCTGTACAAGCATTTGCTGCTTCTATAATCAAGAAAAGTTTAACAGAGTATGTAAGCCTTCCAAATCAAATGTGAAGTGTAATTATACACTTCAATTGAACAAAATGGACTGCAGAAACTCTCATGAAACTCTCCACAATATACACAGTTTAGTTATAATTAGTATTCTGTCTAAGATTTGCTTTAAAAGAGAATAATTTGAAAAGGGGTCAGGAAGGAATTAGAAAAGTAAAAATTGCAGCAAACTGTTGAAATGGATGTATTCACTGAGGATTTCTGCCTGGGAAAAATTATGCTAAAATAGGAACATTGCAAAAAATATATACTACAATGGGTTGAATTTTCTTCTCCGTACTTAAGAATGAGTACTTAAGAATGAGTACTTAAGAATCAGTAAGTCAGTACTCATTCATCAGTAAGAGTTTTGAAACAACAATCAAGTGAATTTTTGGAAAATCAAAATTGTTAATTAACCTCTTAAGAATGGAGGCAATTGTCCACGTTCTAAACAAAAATAAAAACTTGAATTTGAGCAATGCATTTGTTCAACCATAATTTAAAGGTTTATCTTCAAGTGCCCCTATACATAATTTATATCATTTTTGATAAGACAGAAGGGGCTTTTATGTAATACCGTATATGCATACCTAGCACAGTATTGCATATGAATATAATGCTGGAAATTGTAAAAGATTGTAAAAAAAATCCACATTTCATTTTACATTTTTGCTTTTGATAATGTTTACACATTATTATTATTATTATTATTATTGCCATTTATATAGCGCCAACAGATTCCGTAGCGCTTTACAATATTATGAGGGGGGGATGTAACTACAAATAGGACAATTACAAGAAAACTTATAGGAACAATAAGTTGAAGAGGACCCTGCTCAAACGAGCTTACAGTCTATAGGAGGTGGGGTATAAGACAGGAAATATCAATCAAATAGGGTGGGAGTGAAGCAGAGCTGGAGGAGAGAGTAAAGCACTGCCCTATAGGAGAGAGCAAGAGACAGATATGTAAGGTACTCTGGGAGGCCATAAGCTTTCCTGAAGAGATGGGTTTTAAGGCTCTTCTTAAATGATTGAAGACTAGGGGAGAGTCTGATGGCGGTAGGCAGGCTATTCCATAGGAAAGGAGCCAGCCGTGAGAGGTCCTGCAAGTGCGAGTTGGCCGTACGGGTGCGAGCAGCGGTCAGGAGGTGGTCATGGGCAGAGCGGAGGGAACGAGGAGGGGCATACCTATGGATCATTGAGGAGAGAATTGTTCAGTGCTTTAAATGTATGGGTTAGCACTTTGAATTGACTCCTATAGAATACAGGGAGCCAATGTAAGGACTGGCAGAGGGGTGATGTGTGAGAGGACCAACTAGAGAGGAAAATCAGTCTAGCTGCAGCATTCATTACAGACTGTAGAGGGGCAATACGGCTTTTGGGGAGACCAATCAGGAGAGGGTTACAGTAATCCATGCGCGAAATTACTAGAGCATGGACAAGCTCTTTGGTCGCATCTTGCGTAAGAAAGGGGCGGATGCGGGCTATGTTTTTTGAGTTGGAACCTACAGGATTTGGCAACAAACTGGATGTGAGGATCAAAGGTGAGGCCAGAGTCAAGTATGACTTGCTTGCAAGGATGGACTTATGTGGATATCACTGACTTGTAGGGAGAGCAAGAGAGGAGGATTAGTACTAGGAGGAGGAAAGACAAGGAGTTCAGTTTTATAGAGATATAGTTTCATAAAGTGTGAGGACATCAAGTCAGAGATGGAAGAAAGGCAAGCAGTGACACGTTGAAGGACGGCAGGAGAGAGGTCCGGGGAGGAGAGGCATATCTGAGTGTCATCAGCATACAGGTGGTAGTGTAACATCCAGTGTAACTAATTAAAAAGAACTATAATAGATTCACATATCAGTCCTGATTGTTAAATGCTTAATATGTTTAGGATCTAAATTAATTTTTGATAATTAACACTTACTCTATACGATGCCACACACTAACACTATACCAACTGTAACAGAGCTCCTTGTACCCCGACTGGGTACCTTCGCCAAAGCACCGCTTCCTAGCTGGAACAGGGGACAAACCGCAGCACTTCTGCCCACAGTCGCCGTGGCTTGACTGGGGCCCTGCAACCAGAGGTATTCGCTCTAGACACCGCCAGGCATTGGAAAACACTCAGTCCTGGGAGCTATAGTCCTTACAAGGACTTTCCCTGTTGAATCTCCTGCAAGCTGGAACAGCAGACACAGGGGTTAAATCTTCCTTCCCTCCAATAACTGGATGACACACAGTTTTGGAGTGCAAGCTGGAATAATTGTAATGGCACCCACACTGGCCTTAAATGCATGTCCTCATGCAAGGGACACTCCCCCTTGGAGCTGAGAGTAAACCACAGTATAAACAATTACACAATCACATTGGCTCTCAAATCCAGGACACTCCCACACATAATCAGATAATCCCTCCTCTGTACCTGGGAGATAATTAGATCAGGAACTGTACTAATTCTAATCCAATTATCTCCATGCACAGAAAAAACATACTGTTTCAAAACACCCCAAAAGTACCCTAAAATACATAAAACATAAAATCCCACAAAAGTTACGTCCCCTGATAGCCCTGATCTGGGTGACCAACATATCCAAAAACCACCCAGATCAGTTCAGTGGTTCAGGCATTTCCTAGAAGTCATTTATTTGACCGACCACAGGCATGGTTCCATGCCCAAAACAGTTCCAGAGAATCAGGGCTTGCGGTCGACCTAGTTTGGTAGTTTGAAAATGAACAAACTACTGAAGAGAGTCAATAGTCTTACCCTGGAGCTTGTTCCCCTCATCCAGATGAATGATTTCACCGAACAGTGCTCTTCTAAGTTGAATAAAATCACAGGTGATGATGGAAGTCCAGCGTTGTTCAGGAGTTTCTATGTCCAATTTTAGTTCCATGAGATTCATGCCCAAACACCGCTGCCTGCGTTCATGCGAACAAGATGGCCACTACCTCGTGGTTGTCCATAGGAATTGGGGCCACCCAGACTGCGGTGAGAGACGTTCCAAGTTGTTAATAGCTGTTTACAAGCTCCAGGGTGGTCTCTGTCTCGTGCAGTTATTCGGTAACTGAATCATATAATCACAATTGCACGAATGGAGACTTTTATATCACATTTATTAAGGTCCATAGTCTATGGGAAGGAGGCTGGCAAGCAGGCTCCTCTAGGAACTCGTGGCAAACTCACTTCGACAGGGGAGTTTGTCACACCAACCATACCACTACATTAACACTTATCTTACTCTCTTCCTGCACAAACTCTACAGCCTACTCTAACTCTACAATGAACACTAAGTGTAACCCTACCCTAGTCTTACTCTTAAATCTAACCCTCACTCAAACTAAGCCAAACACCACCACTAATCCCAACCCTATCCTTAAAGTAACTCTCTGCTAATATAATTTTTGATATTAGAAATTGTTTTTACTACTTATCACAGTACATAGTGGTATGTTGCCACCATCTGCTGGCTGTTTTTATAAAATTACACTTTGTGTAATACTGAATGAATCCTAGTTCCTAGCCAATTATATAGAGATCAGTTCTAGGCAACTGGCAAAACCCAGCACAACTCTCAAACCACTAGGGAGAGATCGTGCTACCCCACAATCTCTTTGAAGGCATTCAAATGCCTATTTATGGGGCAAATTGTAGTACTAGCTTCCAGCACTGTGAGCAGCTTATCAAAAAGTCTGGAGCCACTAAATGGTGGTTTTAACACTGTAGGGTCAGGAATACATGTTTGTGGTCCTGACCCTAAATTGTTCCTTGAATTTTTCTTCTAAACACATAAGATAAACTAAGAGACAATGAGACAATGACTTTATCATTTGGGTTCATGCCCTGCTCTACCAGCCCTACTTTACATATATATTATTCTCCCACTCTTTCCTTTATTACATAAGATAAACTAGTCTCACTAACGATGGAGTTCTGTGGATTGTCAAACTGACTAGCCATACTACTCAGTT